ACGGGAATATAGGCATGCACCCACCCTCTCTGTTAACTTCAYTGAGGCTGCTTCCTCTCCTGACAGTGAAGCAATTATAGTTCTCCTTGGAGAATAAAAGGAAAACTTCAGCACAGGACTGGTATCCATGTAAACTCCCGAGTCACAAGCTAGGCCTGACAGTAGCTCACCACCTAAGACCGCTCTGTACCAGCAGCTTTGTCTCCCACAACACTCAAGCACCCACCCTGGTGGGATGTCTGAGACATGGTCTGGGGCATATAAAAGACTTTAGGCCCATAAACTAAGCTGGCATCTAAGAAAGAACCCAGAAGATCTGGGCAGACACTGGAAACAAGGTATCACTAGGTTGGGCTTTGAGGAATAAAGAAGGTAGTCAGACTGTGCAGAGGACCATTGAGGACAGTTCCTGTTGGCTTGGGAGAAGGCAGTGGGGTCAGTACAGAGGCTCAGGCCAAAACATAGTAGACCCTGTGGCAAAGCCCAGGGGACTGCATGAATCGGGGTGAACAGGGGGCTTATGAGCCGGAAGYCTTCAAAGACGGTGCCTGGCAAAGGGGCTGACAGGCATGAGGCACCCTGGGAAGAAGGGCTGGGGAGAAACATAGCCATCATGGGGCCAGGAAGGGTGGTGAGAATACAAGATGCTCGCAGAGGCTGAGGCAGAGCATCCCAAATTCAAGGTAAACCTGAGCAGCCTATCAAGACCCTGCCTCAGAATGAAATAAAAGCTCTGGGGATGCAGCTCGGTGGTAGAGCACTTGTCTAAAGGGTACAAGGCCCTGAGTTCAACCAACAGTACTGCCAAAAAAAAAAAAAAAGGAAAGGAAGAGGGAGAACGAAAAAAGTGGAGAATGCAAACAGATACTGAGGGAGCAGCAGCAGCCACATCCAGAGTTGCATCTGTTGGGCCAGAACCGAGGGCCTGGACAAGTACTCTCTTGGCAATGGACCCAGGCAGGTCGGATGGTGCAGAGGGCAGGGAAGCACAGACACCAAGAGACTTGCTCAGACACACCCACACCTGTGTCCCACAGGCCTGGGTAACTGCCTGTCATAGGGACAACTAAGATTCAGCTTGGAAATTCTGGGTATGGTAAGTGGGCAAAAACCCCCAGGAGTTGGGGCAGAAAGGTGCCTCCAGCTGAGTTTGGTCAGGGATTAAGTCTGCTATGGTATGAGATGCCCTGAAGCTTGTTCCTCACTCCAGCCAGCTAATAAACTAACAGATAAACTAAAAGATCACCTGTGAAATCATCCACCCAGCCAGGCCTTAAGTGACACACATTGTGAACCGAATCTGAATGCTCTGAGCATTCYTTTGGGAATATAAGAGCCAGCCAGCCAGACCCACAGACCAGTGCCCAAGACATTCTTGTAGCCTCCTGGAAAAGGGCAGAGGATTGAGACACCAAGTGCCAAGCCCTCTTCCTTCTTATCAAGGTGGCTCTGCCTACACCTACTTCACACCAAGGCTTCCCTACAGGATCTTCCAGTGATAAAAGGACACCCTCTTAAACAAGTTTGAGACTACTGTATTCCTTTAGTCAGTATTTATTTGGCACTTTGGCGCACATGAAATTGTGCCATTTTGGTGTAAATCATCAAAACCACAAGAGAAAAGAAGGTGGTGGGAAAAGACCTGGGTTTCAGTCACTGCTCACAACTGGTTCAAGGAGGTCACCAGCTGGGCCAACACCCTCTGGCCTGTGGCTTTACAAACGCTCCCGCACCCACCAAAACRCCAACGTTTGCCAATAATAAATGCAAAATCTGTTACATTCACGTTAAAACGCAATAACTAAAATATGCTTTCCTTGTTAAGTGCAAAACTGCCACCAACCCCGCGCACAAGCATCTCCGGATCTGGCCACGCCCTGGCCTGCCCCACGTGGAGGCTGCAAGTTCGAAGGATCCCACGCGCCGGGCAGTGCCCAAAGCCCAGGGCCCAGGTGGGCACCCAGCACTTGCACGCTGAAGCCCCTGCTCCGGCCTGCTGGCGATAGCTGAAGGTGCAAAAGAGGAACAGGGCCTGGACCCTGGCACGCAGGACGGCTCGGGGCCGCCGACAGCACCCAGTCTCGCCCGGTGAGGCGCTTACAGGGCCCGGCGGCTGGCGCCCGCGAGACCTCCCGCGTCCCGGCGCCCTCGGCACTCACGCGAGTGCTCCAGCTCGCGCGCCGCCTTGGCCGCGCGCTCCAGCCCTGTCGGGTCGAAGTTGCTCCATTTGTCCTTGGGCGCCTGCCGGTCTCCCGCACCGCGTTCGCCGCCGCCCTCGGCCCCGGGCGGTACGGGCGGCAAGGACAGCGGTGGTCCCGCGCCTTCGCCCTTGGGGCCCTTGTTGATGCCGAAGAGCCAGGACATGACCCGAGAGCGCTGCACGATACCAGGACCCGGGTCGACTGTGACTCCCACAACTCAGAGCAGCCGCCACGCGCCGCGGGCCGGCGGCAGGGCCAGTGCGCAAGCGCGACACACACCCCTTCCTCCCCACAGCGGAAGTGCGCGAGGCCGCGYGGCACACAGCCCTCGGCCGGGGAGAAAAGGCCGTGACGCCACCGGGAGGGCGTGGCCCAGGATAAGGATACCAAGCTTGGACAAACTTGTCGGAACTGGTGGGCGCGCACCGTAGCACTGTCAGTTCGCAGCAGCCGCGGAGTTTCGGCCGTTGTGGGCGCTGGAGAAGCCCCAGCCTGGGAGAGACCCCCCCCCCTGGACGGATATGCACGCCGGGAACTCTGGGGACGCGGCTACCAGGGCAGGGGAGCGTGCGCCTGGCCGCGACCTCAGGGGACGAGGGAAGGGACCCGTGCTGCGAACCCTCCGCTCGCCCCCTCGGTGACCCGCAGCCTTCTGGCCCGGAGCGGCCCTGGAGTCTGGGAGCCCTGCAGGCATGAGGCTGCGCTGAAGACCTCCACACGCGGCGCACGCAGGAAGCCCCTAATAAGTTGACACTAGTGGATCCCAGGAAAGGCTTCGTCTTTCAGATGAAGGGCGGGCCTGGAGAGCAGTCCTCCGCCGGCCCCCTGGATGTTTCCGAAACCGCAGTGGTCTCTGGTTGTATGACTATTAGAATATCCCATCCACAGGTTTGATACTTAAAATCTTATACCATTTAGGAGGACAGACATACCCTTCCTAAAGACTCTAAACCGAGAATCGTGAGTGTGCTTTCTACCTGAAGCATTTCCATTTAACTGACAAATGTGAGGTGCTGCTTATGCTCTGCTGTTTTGTTTGTGGGATCCCTTCTGACCTCCCCAACAGCTTCTCTAACAGGAGTCCTCCAGCATTAACGACCTAGAGAGACCGCAGAGGTTAAAGATGCAGGTTGACAGGCTAGAGGCCAGGAGAGGAGAGCCTGTGTGACACAGAACTCAAGAACCTTATTGAGCATTTGATCCCAACAGAGGTTGTGCAGCCCTCCCCCGGAGCACAGGCTAGCAGGAGTTGGGGCAGGATTCTCAAAGTGAATCCCACCTAATCAGTGGGGAAGAGGTCTGCTCCAAGAATGTGTGCAGCTAAAATGGTTTCTGAGTCCCCTACCCCTGACCAGATCTCAGAGTTGCACTACAACCTGTTGCCCCCAGCAACCCAGCCCTGGGGCTCCCAGCACCAAGGCTGCAGCTGCCAGCTGCCTGTTGACTTCCAAGGATAGTGCCGGTGCAAAGCCTCTCCCCTTAAACCTAAAGCCCCTTTTGCGACCAGCACAGGTTTGCTGCTGACCATCAGTATCATTCTGCAGTTTTGTCCTGTTGGGCAGTGGTCTTGTTTCCAGAAGTGAGGAGCCAATCTCTCTCCTCAGCCAGCTGGTCCCTTCCTGCTCCTCTTCTTCTTCCATTTCCAAAAGGACTCACTGGTTCCAGACTTGCTCATGGCACCACAGTCCACCTGCAGGCCTGCCTCCACCACTGCTGGCATGTGCACTCCCCTCCTGTTCCTAATCCCTTACACACAGGCCCAAGCTCAGCCAAAAGAAAAGCTGCACATGGGACTGGGGATATACAGCTCAGTTGGTAGAGTGCTTGCCTTGCATGCACAAGGCCCCGAGTCCGATCCTCAGCACCAAAAAACAAACAAACAAACAAGAAAAGCTGCCCAGCCTGGCCAAGGTTCTAGGGTGGGGCCTTGGGCTACTGGTTCCCACCCTAACCCACCATAGTAGGGTTCCTGTGACCTGCCAGCCCCTGGTGGCTTCTCCCCAGGTATGGTGGTTCATGAGAGAAAATAAGAGTAGTGGTAGCAGGCCCAGGACTATAGTGATTTAGGGCTGAGCCCAAACCTCACAGGCCCCTCTGGGCTTCCCCACAGTTGTATAGCTCATCTTCCTGCTCAGGGTTTATGTGTAGGTTAGCCATTGCCTGCTTATGGTGACCCCATGCACTGTCCTCTGCCCCAAAGCAGCCCCTGCCCCCAGCTGGAAACTCAAGAGTCTCCAGCACTGTCCCTATAGGGCCCTGAAGTGAAACCCATTAACTGGTGTACACACTTCCTGGCCATATGTATCATGGGTGGCCTTAGTGCTGGCCTTCAGCTGCCCTGCCCTGCCCAAACCTATGGCCTCCAAAGTGCCTTTGTGTCCCTGGACACTCTAGAAGGGGCTGTAAGGGGACTCTCTCAAGAGTTGCCTGTGAGGAGCCACCTGCCATGCCCACGACCTGTGGATCATGAAACGCACCAGTTCAGGCCACAGATGCTCAATAAGGTTCTTGGGTTCTGTGTCACATAGGCTCTCAGAAAACACACACACACACACACACACACACGTAGGGTCCAGAAACCACCGGCTCAACCCTGGCTGCCTGGGATTCACTAGGGTAGACAAAAGTGGGTACAGTGGAGGCATGGCTTTGCCAGCAGTGGGTGCCCACAGTTGGGGGACTGGGCAGTAGGCAATGGGCCTGCAGAACTACTGGGCCCTCTGTCCTCTTGAGTTCCAGCAGTCTGCCCCTATCCAAACTGGATCCTGGGCCACAAAAGCAAGTGCCAGAGGGCTGTAGAAGTCCAGGTGATCTGTATCCAAGCACTGGAGTCTGGCCCCAGCTCCTCTCAGATGCACCATGATCCTGCACACTGGACCTCTCACACTGCCCTGACCCTGGCTGGAGTGTTGTGGCAGGAACAAAGCATTCTACGGAGACAGCAGGCTCAGCATACAAATGGTTTACTGTATTTTGGAATCTGGGTCATTAGTGGGGAAGAGAAGCAAGGTGAGCCTGGGCAGGTGATTCTGAGAAGAGGCCCTGACCAGTGGGGGCTACAGAAGCAGCCAGGTCCTCCCTATCCTTGGTGAATTCTCCAGAGCTCCAGGATAGTAGAAGGTGACAGGAGGTAGCCCATGACCCTCTGGGGGCAGACAGTGTCACAAAGTATCTGAGGTGAACTCACCCAGAGCAACACTGTTCCTCCTCAAGGAGCTCCAGGGCCCCATACGGGGGAGGCCCCCTGTCAGTGCTGGCCTTGGAGCCTGGCCCAGGCCAGAGTGGATAGCCCTGGTCCCCACCATCCTGAGCACCAGGTTCTGGGTCTATGCCTCCAGAAAAGTGCTTTCTTCATCCCAGGGGCTGCTAGCTGGGCCCGCCTGGGGTCCTGGGCAGGGAGGCAGGGCCAGTGTGCCCAGTAGGCACTGCCTTCCAAGCTCAAGGGTCCTGGCAAAGACCACTGGGCCACACCATCAGCCTCCCCAGTGCCCTCCAGTCCTTTCCTTCTTCAAGAGGCCTTTGGAGACAGGCCTATGCCAGCTGCTCCTCCCCTTGCCCCACCCATTTTCTATCCAAAGGCAAGACCTCAGTGGCCTGGGGCACTTCCTCCAACTGTGCATGCTTGGCCTTTCACACCAGCTGGAGCCCAGGCCCCTGCCTCCCCTGGGTCTGATGTTCTCAACTTGCCCTCAGACGCCCTCCCCACCTCTTTACCAAATGTTGGCAAAGGACAACACAAAGGGGGTTCTGGCCGAGAGTCAGAGGAGGCTGCGAGGAGAGAACTAGGGGGTAAAAGGCAAGGCTGGCACTTCCTCCCACCGGCTCCGGCTCCGTGCGAGGGGCTATCGGTCGACTTCTCCGAACCCCTCCTGGCGGGCGGCTCACCCGCCACGGCCCACTGCGACCTGGGGTGCTGGGCGCGGGGCTCGGCTGCGCTCACCCACCGGCGTGCAGGCCTTGGCGGACAGCGCCCTCTCGTGGCCCGAGCGAAAGGCAGCTGTCACCGTCACCAGGTAGGCGGTGCCGGGCGCCAGGCCCTGCAGCGTGGTGCTGTTTCGGCCAGCGGGTACGTCCACGCGTTGTGCAGCGCTGCCACTCAGTGGCCCGATCTGCACCTGGTAGCCGAGCGCGGCAACTGGGCCCAGTGCTGGGGCCCAGCTCACGCGGAGGCTGTGCGGCCTGGCATGCGAGATGACGATGCGCTCTGGACCSGCCTCGTCTGCGGGGGTGAGGGGTGGGGGTCAAGCGGAGGGACGTTCCACCCCACGAACCCCTCCCCACGGCGTATTCCCACCTGCGCCTCACCTGGCAGCGTGCGCACTCGCAAGTGCTGAGGCTTCAGGAGGTGCACGTTGGACTCGGGCAGCAACACCACATCATATTCTGAGTCAGGGTCGAGGCCGGCCCAGGTCCAGTTGGTGGCGTTCCCAGGCAGCTGCTGGCGTCTTGTGGCCCCCGGGCCGGCACTGGGCACCAGTTCCAGCACGTAGTAGCCGGAGTCGGAGGTCAGTAGGGGCGGCCAGGCCAGGCGGAAGCTGTTGGACGTCACGTCGGAGGCGTAGAGCTGCTGTGGCTGCATTGCATCTGTAGAAGGTATGAGAGGTCAGGGGAGAAGACACCTCGAAGGGGCCAGCTGGTGGAGCTCTGAAGGATCCAGAGAATAACCTGCAGGTCCCTGGAGTGGTGTGCAGGTGAATGAGGCTGAGGAGCACATTCAGATTCTGACCTTCCTCTCCTGATGCCTGGGTGTGGGGCCTGCCAATCTTCCCCCTCAGACTCTGCCCCCAGCCCCAGGAGCCACCACCCCACTCCCTGATTCTGAAGGCAGCCTTTTCTCCTTTCCTCTCCAGGCTCAGCTGCCAAGGGCCACTAGGGGTCAGATGTCCCTGGGGAAGACTTTGGGGGAGGACCCTCTACCCCTTCCCAGTCCACAGACCCACACCTTCCTGCTCAGGGTAGGTGAGTAACCCAAAGGCAGAGATTTGGTAAAAATCCTGGGGTGGTGGCACTTTTCTGTGGCTACGGCAAGCCTAACCAGCCATCAGGCCCCTCATCTCCAGCCCTTCCCCCTTTGAGGCTGGGCTGAGGGGGTGATCCAGAAAAAGGCCCCTGGATGCTGCCCCGCCCTGTGACAGACCTCCTGGTCTGGCTTCATCCCCAGCTGTTCCCACCACACACTTGCTGTACAAACCAACACAGATCCTTCCGTGGCTGTCCTCACCCAGAACAGGTAGGGCTTGAGCTCTGGGAGGCAGACCCGGCCTTCCAGGTTCCTCCCTCTTGGATGGGGTAGGCCTGGACAGGCACCATGCACATGCTGCCACTGGCTTCCTCAGCCCAAGGACCTCCTTCCCGATCCTTTCCACTTATTCCCCCACATCCTACAGAGGTAGCCCTCAGTCCCTTGGAGATCACCTGGAGGTGACCACTAATGTTTGCTCCCGTCTCTCCACAGCCCAGGGGTCTGAGCATATGAGGCACCGAGTTGGTTTGTGTTCCTGAAGGTGCATGGAGAAACTCAGAGTTATCTGCCTCCCATTCCCACCTGGGGGCATCAAGCACTTGAGTTCTGAGGGCTCTCCTCCCACCTACCAAGAATGGAGCCCCGCAGCTCTCGGGCAATGATGTGCAGATCATCCACATCAACGAAGTGCAGATGCTTCTGAGCAGGGGCTGAGGCAGCTGCAGACAGCTCTAGCAGGTTGCCACGGCCCGTGCTGACAATGAAGACTGTGACGCCCTGGTCCTTGAGCTCCTGCATTGGGGGGCCCACAGGGTCGCTGGAGGCACCATCTGTCACCCACACCAGTACCTTGGGCACCCCTGGCCGGGCACCCATTGCCTCAGCAAACAGCTGCTCCCGGGCATAGGCCAGTGCCAGGCCAGTGTTGGTGTCACCCATTCGCTGGGCTGCAGCACGGATGGCGTCCTGGACAGCCTGGCTTGAGTTGTGTTGGTTGAAGGGGAACTCGGTGTGTGGCCTGCTACCCACATGCACCAGGCTGGCACGCAGGGCCCCAGGGCCCAGGGGCAGCAGTGCCACCAGCTGCCCCACAAACTCCCGTACCCGGGAGAACTCGTAGTGTGATACGCTGGCGGAGCTGTCCAACAGGAGCAACAGGTCCCCCTGGGGGGCCGATGCCAAGGGACCTGGGGAAAGACGAGGGTCAACCCCAAATGGTGGCCCCAGATCATCCCACACCCAGAGCAGAGACCCCTGAGGCCCGGGCTTTCCTTGAGCCTGTGCTCACCCTTGCCCTGAGGTCCAAAGGGTAGTACCTCAGGGGAGAGGGTCTCTGGACCAAGCAGGAGGCTCACACTCTCAGTGCATTCCAGCTCTCTACACAGGCCATGTGACCTAGTGCACCCTGGGCTGGCGCAGGTCTCCTGTGCAGAGGAGTGCTAACCCTCCAAGACCCTACATTCCCTTCTCAGCAGACATCCAATGTAGGTGGAGCCAAAAGCCGGGGCGTAGGCCTCCCTGAAGGTCTGAGTCTGGGGTCCACTCCCTCAGGCTTGGTTTTCAGAGAGGCCACATGGAGGCTGGAATTCAGCCACACAGCTCAAGCTCCAGGTAAGGCATTCTTCGGGCATGCACAAGGCAGCAGGGGAGGGCTGGGAGCACAGCAGGGATGGGGAGGCAGAGCTCTGAACACAGCCCCCCCCAGCCCAGATGGCCAGGCTGGAATCGTGACCCCACTTACAGATGACATCACCCCTAGCCTGGCCCCCATCCTTAGCTCCATCTGGACCCAGAAAACAGGATACACCCCCAGCAGCCTGAGGGCCCGCCCAGCTCCTGGCGGGCCTCCCCTTCCTCCCGGCACCCTGCGGGGTGGGTGTGCACGTGGGCCCCTCCACCACTAAGCCACGGGTGGGGGGAGTGGGGCGGGAGGGGGGAGGAGAGTTCAAGGAGTCCTAGGCCTGGGGTTTCCCCAATGCGGTAGGGCGATTCCAACCTCCGACCACCTCTACCGAGGGCCCTTCGGAAGGTAGGGAAACTGAGGCGGGACGGCCTCTCCCACAGACTTCTCCCCTCCAGGTCCAGCCCGTGGACCTGCCGGCGGGGCATGGCAGACGCCGGCCTCGCCGCTCAGTCTTGCCGCCTGGAGCACCTGGGCGCGCCCCCCACAGGTGGCTGGGGTGCTGGGCTGGCTCCCAGCTCAGCTCCCGAAACCGCCAGCCCACCCGCCTCGCAGCCCAGCGTGGGCAGCGGGAACGAGGGGCCGTCAGGAGTCAGAGCCTGGCTCCGCCGCACTCACCGCGCTCCGCGCCGCTCCGCGCCAGCGCCAGCCGCAGGCTCAGGGCCAGGCTGAGCGCCGTCCAGGGGAGCATCGCGCGCGGTGGGATGGGGCGCTCGGCCGCAGCTTGTTGCTGGCTTGCTCCGGGACAGCCGGGCGCGGGCCTGAGAGGGCCCGCCCCCGGGAGGCCACACCCACGGCCACGCCCACGCCGCGGGCGCACGCACTCACCCAAGCGCGCACCCCAGAAACGACCTGCGCGGACTTGGCAGGGGAGCCCTCACGAGCCACCTGGACAAGAGGCGACACGCAGCACTAACCCAGGCACCACCGAGGCACGCACTTGTGGGCAGGCACACACAGGCTCTCCCCTCTCCCGGCTGTAAGGCTGTGGGGTCCCCCGCACTCCAAACCCTTTGCCTGTGATTCCCAAGTGTTAGGGGCCCCTGAAGCCAAACCCCAGGTCCTGGCTGCACCTTGGCCACAAGGCTGAGGGATAGGTGTCCCTAAGGACTAATCAACAGGAACTGGAAGGGCCTTAGAGTGGGGACAGGAGCCTGAAGACAAGACACAGGAACAGGAGACAGTTGGTTCAGGCCTTGTCCTGCGCCAAGCCCATAATGGCCCTACTGCTGGCCTCATACACTCTACCCAAGGAAGGGCCTGAGGCCACAGATATAACACCCTAGCAGGACTGGAGGGGCCCACTAGACAGAGCTGAGCCCTGTAATGTTTTTTTTTAATATTTTGTAGATAAAATGCCTTCATTTTATTTATTTGTTTGTTTGTTTGTTTGTTTATTTATATGTGGTACTGAGGATTGAACCCAGTGCCTCACACATGCTAGGCAAGCGCACTACCGCTGAGCCCCAGCCCCAGCCCCTGGGTTCTGTAATCTTGACTAGGCCCAGAAAGGGGATGCAGTGTTCCCTGGGAACACTGGGCCTCCTCCCCTGCGCAGGACCCCGCTGCAGCCCTCCTGAGATCCTTCCTGTGGGGTAACCATGGAGTTGAGTTTGGGGACACACATGTGGCAGGGRTATGTCTGCCAGGATGTCCCTCCCTTCTCACCCTCTGCAGGAGGATGCTGGTGGGGAAGACGGATGGGACTTAAAATGGTTTTCCTTCCTCCCTTTCTGGCAGGTGAGACTCAGCGGCGGGACTAGGAGGATGGCCTGAGCTGGGCTTTGCCTAAAAAAGGAAGCGCACAGCTGAGCCCCAGGAGCTGGCGGCAGGAACAAGTGAGAACTGTGTCCCTGCCGCCATCCCCCACCCCCTTGCCGGGAATCTTGGCAGTGGGTGTTGGCTCTGCTCCACAGACCTCAGGCCTCAGCACGGACCAGAAGCTGCTTGGTGCTTCCGCCTGGGCCCCGTGGGGGGAGCAGTGGATTTGGGCTCACCCAGAGGAGTAAGCCGCCCAGGGGGTCTCACATGGCCCCCAGCCCCTAGCACACAGGGCTGCCCTGTAGATGGGCACTGAGCAGAGACCAAACAAGGTGGCAGCACCGCCACTGCTGTGAGGCACGCCCAGGTAGACAGTTCATCCTCAAGCTTGCCTGCCAGGGAGCTGGGCCACAGTGGATCCGCCCTGGGGGGAGGCAGCTGCTAACATCAGCCCAGGCCCACAGTCACACCTCAGCCTGCCTGGCTGAGCTGACGGGAAGTTTCCGTCCCTTCTGGAAAATTGAGCGGGTCTTCTTGCTGTGACTCAGGCCTCAAGGAAGCAGCGCCCTCCTCCAGCCTGACATCAGAAGGAGAGGGGCACTGGAGGCCCAGCCTCCACCGAGTCCTGTCTGCCCAGCCTCTATCCAGACACTGCTGCTGCCCCACCCCCTGGGGACCCTCCCCATCAGCCCTACTCCCCTACTCAATCCAAGCAAGCCTTATTCCTGTGTCCTGCCCCCCAGTGCTCTCCCTACCTCCAGAGGAAAGCTGTGGACAGATGGGATCCCAGAGGGTGAGGGAGTTAGCCTGAGTTGTGGTGGTCAGAGCCAGGCCTGGGCTTTAGGCCGACACCAGAGGAAGCACAAATAGAATGATCCAGAAGCCTCTTCTCTGAAGGGAGCAGGGCCCAGTTGGTAAAGGGGGCAGAGACATAGACAAATGCAAGGACTGGCCAGGCCAAACAGCAGGGCCCATCCCCCAGCCCTCCGCCTGCCCAGGTGCAGTCTCTGCCTGGGCCTGGCATCCCGGGGACCCAGAGGAAGATGCAGCAGGTGAGGCTGAGAGCACCTGGCCCCACAACCTTGGCCCAGGCGCAGGGAGTTGCTGTGTCTCACTTCCCAGAGCTGGCCCAGCTGCTTATCTGCAAGCAGGTGGGGGGTTTCCCTGAACTGAGGGACACTGCTCCCAGTAGGGCATTGCCCCTGCCCCCACTGAGGTCCTGGAGAAAGCTCCCTCCTCCACACAATCCAAGCTTCTGCAGAGAAGAAGGGCCTTTTGTCCCCAGCTCACTGTAGTCATGTTCAACCCCAGAGAAAAGGGCATCTCCTGGGGCCTCTGACCCCACCCCTGACCCCAGCTGAGGGCAGAGTGGCCTGGGCCCCCACCCCATTGCTGTGAGCTGCTGTTTGTCAGTTGTTTGTATCTACATGCAAACCCACGCTCACATCCACGGGGGACACAAAAACAGGAAGTGGCAGGAGCAGCTGCATGGGCCCTGGCCAGGGGAGTGGGGTGAGGCTGGGTCCGGTGACCCTGCCTCATCCAGGCAAGCAGCGGGGTAGGGGAAGGGGCAGCCAAGAGCAGCAGGGCCCTACAGCTCCTTCCCACTGCCCCCCCCTTCCTCTAGACTTGATTTGTCCGCCTAGGGTTAGGATCAAGCCAGGCAGGGCCCAAGACCAGTCCTGGGAGCTGGGGGTGCCCGTCTCACCCCCAGAGCCCCGAGCTGACACCTCTCCCAGTCCCTGCCGTGAAGGTAGAGGGAAGAGGCAGGGGAGGGTAAGTGCCAGGCAGTGTTCATCAAACCAGCTTCTGCCCTGGGGACACCAGCTACCAGGCAGAGCCCCTCCTCCCAGTACCCCCAGACTCGGTGCGAACAGGCGATGCTGGGCCAGCAGGGACAGGACAGCTTGTTTTCCCTGTAGAGGACGGGGCCCTGTGGCAGCAGAGGGTCAGCAGGGACCTGAGGCAGAGCTGCACAAAGGAAGAGCCTTAAAGGCAGAGGGGGACAGTGAGTGCTAGGGCCTGGGTGGGGGTGGGCATGCCTGCCAGTCAGGGGACCTGGGCTGGCGCACAGCAAGGGCAGGGCCCGTGTAGGGCCTTCAGGCAGCAGGGAGGTGATGGGACTCCAAGTGCGTGGAGAAGGCAGTGCCAAGGAAGGGCAGAGGGCTGATCCCAGGCCCCGAGGGAGATACTGGGTAAGCCGCCATCAGAAGTCGGGCAGGGACTCGGTGAGAGTCTGGATTCGGGTGTCCAGAATGTGCCACCAAACAATAATGTGCCTTTCTGAGGTGGGCCACCCCAGCTTTGGTCCTCTTGGCTGGCCTGCTCTTCTGTAGGTGATTGCCAGGTCCCGCTTCATCCTCAGGTAGGGTCCAGGCAGGTTCACAGAGCACCCAGGGGCTCAGATGGAGGAGGAAGCAGGAAGGGGCAGGCCTGGATCAACACCTTGAGGGCAGCCTCCCTAGTGTCCGGCCCAGGAGCAGGGGCCTCTCTCTGCCTCCTCCTTCCTAGCCCACCCTCTCCGGCTCAGGCACTGCCAGCATGGTGCCCAGCCCACGTGCCTCGGTGGGGCATGCCTCTCAAGAGCTCAGAGCTGAGGCTGGAGGAACAGTTGGCTAAGCATGGGCCCTCCTTGCCCCTCAAGCAGGGTGTGCCTGCAAATATTTTGTGAATAAAATATACAACCTTATCGGGTTGGGGTTGTMGCTCCGTGGTAGGGCGCTTGCCTAGCATGTGTGAGGCACTAGGTTCGATTCTCAGCACCACTGATAAATAAGGGTCCATCAATAATGGAAGAAAAAAAATACAAGCTTAGGCAAGGTAGGGACCTTGCAGAGCCCTCCTCTTACCTGGGAGGTGGGGACAACATCCCTCATCCAAGAAGAGAGAGGATAGTAGGTAGGACAGGACACACCCACACATGCACACTCCAGCTTTCTCTCAGGGAGCAGGGCCTTTAGCCACAGGGGAAAGAGTTGTGTCCCCACAAATGTAGGTCTCCTCTGGCCCACCCACTGGCTTGGCTCTGCAGCCCTGAGGGACTGGAGCTAGTGACGGGGTGAAGCTCAGACCTGGGAAAAGTGAGGCTGCTCCAGACCTCCAGGTAGGGGAAAGGACTCCAGAGCAGCCAGCAGAGGAGACGGAGGCAGGGCCAGGGCTGGGGACTAGGACCCCGAAGGAGGAGGTTTCTGTCACAAGCTCATGCTGGGAAGAAGTTGGGGGACAAAATCTGTGGGACTCAGGGAAGAGAGCTAGGAAGAGGCCAGTGGATACCTCAGGCCTGAGAGGGGAGTCTGTGGCTAGAGAGCCAGGTCCCTGCCCCTCAGGAGAATGACAAGGAAGACTCCCAGGGCCCTGCAGAGGACCCAGAGAGGGCAGAGCTGCCTTCAGCTCCAGGCAGGCAGCTGTAGCCCCTCAGGCTCTGCTGGCCTGGCAGCTGGCTCAGCTTTGCTCTCCAGGTCTAAGGCCTGGGTGGAATCCTGGGCCTGCCTCCTGCATGCCCGGCAAGCATCCTACCACTGAGCTACATCCCAGGGCCAGCTGGAGGCTGTCAGGGGTTTCACAGGGAGACTGGGAAGCTGGGAAACACCTTTTGGAGAACTCCCTGCCCTGCCCGGGTCAATGGTCAGTGACTAGCAACCAGCTTAGCAGGAGGGGGGCGCTGAACTAGCCACTTACCTCCCCGCCCCCACCAGGCCCAGCTGTTGTTTTGATGATGTYGGGCCAGGCGGATCCTCAGCCCAGGGTATCCCAGGAGACTCCTTATTGTCAGCCCCTGGTGGCAGCAGCCGGAGCCTGCCCAGCCTGGGCAGGAGGGGAAGGAAGGCGCCCTCGGCCTCAGGAAAGCTCTTGTATGCAGGCTGGCAACTGGCCAGCTCTGTCTGCTCAGGAAAGACATCAAAGGCAGACACAGATGAAGGTTGGAAAACCCCAAGACACCCCCTGGACCCAGCCCAGCCGTACACTGGTCTCTGCTCAAGGCCACTGTGGATCCAACACTGGTCACAGGCTGAGCCCTGCTGGCAGTATGGCATGCTGGATCCTTTAAAAGGATTTTCAGCTACCATAAGACTCTGTTAAATCACAGTGAGCAGTCATTTTTAATACACTGTTGGACTTACAAGGAAAGAAATATTTCAAATACCCCCCCC